CTTTCCAAACCAAAGCAAATCTTAGCAACTTAACTTATAAATTACTTGAGCTTTATGTTAATTATCTAATCGTGCTCTGAAATAAAGCTGATATTGTCTTATTTAGAGACATGAGCTATCTCTTTAAAATATGATATTGTAAATAGTATCAGAACCTTGAATTAGCTATGTGTCCTTGCAAAGCTCAGTCAGATTTGTAAAATACCGCAGTTCTTTGTCTCTCTCAAATGAATGTCAGCAGACATCTTAGTGTTATTTACAACAGGTCGAACAACAGGCTAATATGAGGCAAAAAAAAAAAACCAAAAACGTTCTTTCGCCTGACAAGAAGGAATTGTAAAGAACCACAGAGCAAACACATACTAATTCCATCACTATTCGCATGGTGCTTTTTGATTTAGAGGCCAATGATTTTTTGACAACTGTTCTTTTTTTTATGCAACACAGTCACAGCTTTTACCATTGTGAGTGAGTTGGGTTGCCGGCATGGCACAGCTGAGTGAAAGAAGAGATGCTGTGAATCTAATTCCCTTAGGCAGAAAAAGCACCACTGTTTCACCTATCCACATTTTCCGGGCATTTTATCAGGACCATTCCATTAGCTTTAATCTTCATTATTAGATTTGATGTGAAAACTTCACTGAAAATAATTTGATCATTTGACATTTTCTCCTTCAATAAACCAGGGATGGACCACAAATGAACCAAGGTGCAGTTTATGGTTGCTGAATACAATAATGGTTAACTCTGTTTGAGAGGATTTACATGTGATGTATTTTTATTTTGTTTACTTTACTTTTAATATATATATATATATATATTAAAAGTAAAGTAAACATATAAATAAATAAATATATATATGTAACGGGTCAAATATGTGTTTCCATTTGCTACATTTATTTTCATGTATGGCCCCTTTAAATCGCACTCTCCGTCCAGATCTGGTAGTAGGATGAACTGGTTCCGGTAGGGTCAATTAGATTCGCGCCAGCCAAGAGAGTGAATGGTTGCGGTGAGTGAGTGCTCCATGAGTAAAACATTGTGATAAATATATAACCATTTTATGGGTTAATACTGAGTTATACGTGTGTTTAGATTTATGTTATTTGATTTGTGTTCGTGCCACTGTTATATGTATTGTAATATGTATTTAATGTTCACCTCCATTATAGAATGTGCACAAGGGTGATCGCTGAATCTGATTATGTTATTCAACAGAATAAAAATACATCATAAAGCGCGATTTGGTGTCCATCGTGAATTAACACACAACACAACGCAGAGACAACACTGTTGCATATACATATATGGACCCTTTTTAATTTTATGGTTTAACATATCAGGACAAAAAAAAAAAAATCTGGTCCTTGGCAGGTCTTAAAATTAGGTAACAACCTCAGTTGAACAACAACACATGCCATATTACACAGTGTCATTGTTTATTTAACAAAAATGTAGCCATCAGTGACAAATAAATGCACTCTTACTGCTTCCATAGGAACTAAGAGGGAAAGCAGCAGTCAGGCACTGCCAATCAAATGCCTTTGATTAGTTGATCACAGGCAAACATGACCACCTCTATAAAAGCAGAAGTTTTTGTCAGTTTGCTGGTCTGGAGCATGCAGGTGTGTGTTAACACAATGCCAAGGAGGAAAGACATCAACAATGCTCTTAGAGAAGCAATTGTTGCTCTATTATTCTACAGTGAGGAAGATTTTTCACAAGTGGAAAACATTTAGGACAGTGGCCAATCATCTCAGACTCTACAGGCCTCAGTTAGCGTGTTAAATGTACAATTAGAAAAAGACTGGTCAAGTATGGCTTGTTTGGAAGGGTTGCTAGGAGAACCTAAAAAGGAGAACATCTTCTCTCTAAAAAGAACATGGCAGCACTGCTTAGGTTTGCAAAGTTGCATCTGAACAAACCACAAGACTTCTGGAACAATGTCCTTTGGACAGATGAAACCAAAATGGAGATGTTTGGCCATAATGCACAGCGCCACGTTTGGTGAAAACCAAACACAGCATATCAGCACAATCATACCATCTGTCGAACACGTTGGTGGAGGGGTGATGATTTGGGCTTGTTTTGCAGCCACAGGACTTGAGTCGACCATAAGTAAGTATTCTAGAGTCAAATGTGAAGCCATCTGTCTGACAGCTAAAGCTTGGGCAAAAATGGGTCATGAAGCAGGACAATGATCCCAAGCACACCAGCAAATCTACAACAGAATGGCTGAAAAAGAAAAGAATCTATGTGTTGCACTGACCCAGTCAGAGTCCAAACCTCAACTCGATTCAAATGCTGATGTTCATCTGAGGTTGCATTTACCTAATGATTTAATGATTTTGTATTATGTCCTGATACGTAAAGCCATATATATATATATATATTCCTGCTTTTTGGACCACTATAATTTACACCTTTATTTTCCTCCATAGCTCATGCTATGATTTGTAGGTCAGCGCTTCCACAGGGACTAAGCCATCTGTAAAATTTTAACAGCAGATAATGACCAGCTGAGGCAGCTTTATCCAGAGCCAGTGGTGACCTTTACCCAAAGGATCATGTTGATGACTCGTTTCAAGGCTTTTAACTTACAGCACCAACCTCTAAAACCAGTCTGAAGGTTTTCAGGCTATTATCACAACCTTTTGGTCCTTCACCATGTGACATCTCTTTACACATTTTAATCAGGTACTATTGGGTCAATGTGGAGAGTGGGGTAAAGCCAAAATGATCATAAATGATTATGTGTCCCGGTGACCAACATATGGTGCTAGGCACAATAAACAAAGGCCTGGCAGATCAATAGTTTTAGGCTAGACAGCTTCGAGAACTGAATTTGACAATGAGTTTAATTGATAGGCATGTAAATGAATGAATGGAGAGATAGGGATGGGGCAAAAGCCTCTTGATGACCTAGACAAATCTGTTTATAGTGGATTAGACACTTTACAAGCTGGGCATTTAAAAGCACACTTCAACAATATATGGATCAAGCCAAACAGGGGGAAACAATCAATTTGGGCCACTGGCAGGCAAGAAATTAAAGATCAGTAGATGGGCATCCACTGTCAGGGTGATTAGAAAAATAAGAAATACATGTGGAAGCTCAAAATGGACATCGCGACCAGTAAATGGGATTCATTGAGAAACCGTGATCAATAGGTGGTAGTTTCTCGCATGACTGTTCCCCTGTGATAGAGGGGGACTTGGGTTATGGCAAATCCCTGCACTAATCTTGCCTGATATTAGCCCAGCACAGTTTGTTAGCCATGTGAGTTTAATGTAAAATAACACTTTTTTCTTTAGTGGCTTGATAAATTGCATATTTTTAGAAGTGCAATCAACATGATGGCGAGACAAATTGTTCAGCCATCCTTTAAGCGGTCTTTTGAAAAATCTGATGGAAGTAAGACTGAGGTTTTGCCTACTTTTATGTTAGAGTTACAAAGTTGTTACGTTAAAAGTTCAACTTTTAGAAAAAGCTTCAAGATATTGCGTTTTATTTCCCCCATTCCACTGCATTTTATTAGTGACCTATAAATAGTGCAAATTCTTAAATAATTATTAATCATTTTGATGTTCTCATTTTTAATTGTTTAAAATATTTTTGATTTATTATTATTTACACTACCCTCATTGTATACTACACTAAATTGCATTCAATAAAAAAGACTCAACACATAATGGTCTGTTTTTTTTCTCTTTTTTTTTCTGTTACTGTGATATGGGCTCTTTAGGTTTTTTAAGGTCTTTTTATAGTTTCATCTGCCATTGTAGGTCCCTCCCAAGCAGTTTGTATTACTTACCTGGTTCATATGGAATACTAAGCTTTGCACTGGAAGCAGGCATAATGGCAAGTCAACAAACTAATCACATTTAGAGAGAAAAGGTCATCAGCAAAGCTTAATGGGTTTCTGATTTCACTGGAACCTGATTGCAGCGAAACTTTATTTTACAATTAGTCAGAGGGACAATCAATGCAGTTACAATTTATCCGTAGGGGTCAGACACTTTTCTTGTATTAAAATGGCATGGGATGTTGGAGAGCAGTAAAGGATTGAAGAGGTTCATTCATTCATTCATTCAAGGATGAGATGAAAAAATATATCATAACCATAATAAACCAAGTTTAATTAAAACACTGTTGACAAATATATGATGGGGGTTACCTTATTACCTTACCTTACTACCTAACTACTCATTTACTTCCTTTAAGTACAGAAAGGAGAGAGAGATGAATCAGAATGATTCGTGAATTAGTGTTTTTTTTTAAGCTGAAGTCTCAATAACTAGATGTTAAAGATTGACAGCTCAAAATTGTATTCATAGTTTTATCCAGATGTCCAACATGTGCAATGAATGTGTCAAAATGACTCACATGCTTCTGAGCTCTACATATTTTCCTAGATTGTTCACTTCCTAAAAATGGGGTTTCAGTGCCCAACATTCTGCAGGCATTGTGGATTGTACAGTAGGAAAGTATTTACGAATCTGCAGTTATACCCAAACTATAAATGAAAAAGCTCTGATCTAAAATATGTGAGAGTTCTGTCAGTGCCTTTTACACCTTTCCAATACATCAATATGCCATTATAATTTCAGCACAATGAAGGGACCTTTAAAATTACTACTGTATAATTGCAGTCTTTCAAGCTGCCATTATCCTAGGCTTTGAGTTATTGACCGGGAGACTTCCACTCAAATTTACTCTTTGTTGAGCTTGTGACTGGGTCGTTGTCCCCAGAGGGTGCATGAATGGTCAGGGGATCTGACCATCACTGTAAGTGAATCGTTATAGGGTTTTGCCAAGGGCACATGGTTTGGAAGGGTAAATAATGGAGAAAGCACCCTGGGAGCCTTTAATTAACCATTCTCTCTCTCTCTCTCTCTCTCTCTCTCTCTCTCTCTCTCTCTCTCTCTCTCTCTCTCTCTCTCTCTCTCTCTCTCTCTCTCTCTCTCTCTCTCTCTCTCTCTCTCTCTCTCTCTCTCAGACCCAGCAGGGGTGGACTTTGAGCAATATGAACTGTCCGTTTTGGCTGATACTCTTAGGAGTTACATTCAGGAATTACCCTGCCCACTCATCCCAGCTGTAGTGTACAGTGAGCTGGTCTACACTGCTCAGGGTAAGCTGAACACAAAACATGTAAACACCACAATTATATATATATATATATAGCTATATATATATATAGCTATATATATATATATATATACTGTATGGAAAATTAATATATACATTTCATGACACAATGGTAAACATTTTAATGAATTGTACTGGTTTCTCTGTTTGCTCTCTCTTTTTTTTTTTTTTTTTTTTTTGCAATTGCAATGGGTACTTTGGCTTTCAAGTTTTAAAATGAAGAAAGCACAGAAGTATCATAAAAGGGGTGTGTAGTATGTATGACTTGTAGACTATAGTCTTAATTCTAAGCAGGGCCGGCCCAAGTAAAAACAAGTATTGATATAATTATAAAGACACACTGCACTTTACTTTCCGTTTACAACAAGCAAATACGGCCCACTGTGTTTGGGTGGCCACAAAAGAGGTTCTAAAAAAGCTATAGTAATTCAGAATAGTACACTGTAGCAATGTATGTTGTTCAGGGAAGAAGGAGGCGGGAACCGGCGAACATTCAAACACTTTAATTATAAAATAAACACAAAACGAAAGTAAAAGGGGCAGTCCCGCACGGACGACCGCCGCACACACATAAACAAAACATAACATAAATGTTCAGGCCTGGTCCTCTCTTGTCCTTCACTGTCGTCACTCCTCATTTTATGCTTCCGTAGCTCATCCATGAGATACGAGGCTGGACGCTCATTATCAATCGCCACCGGCCTCGCGCCGTTCTCTCACGGCTCTCGCCCTCACCCTGTTGCCACATACACAAACATCAATGTCTGCCATAAAGAGTTGTTAACTTGTGATTTTGTTCATTTTTATGTTTTTATATTTCTATTACAGTCTTTCTTTTTCGTTGATTTTTAGCTTTGTTATAGTAAACATATTGTAATCTGTACTAAAAAGATGTTAATTGGCATAAACATACACAAAGAATGCTCCATTTAAAATCACTAAAAAGCTGTCACTCATCTCAGTTCATCGCAATCTCACAAAGTTCCGTTATAATCAATGAAGCTGTCTATACACTGCTGTGAATCTCTTATTTACATTGTGTCTACACTTTGTTTGTTATATCGAGAGGATTTGCTAATGTGCAGAACTTGCTGGCGTTTTGAGCGGTGAGTGGATTCTGACTTAAACACCTCTGATTGGCCATTTGTTCAAGAGATCAACAAACATGTCTGTGATTGGCTTCATTGTTCAACGCTGCTAAAACAAATAGAAACATTTGACGTTCTCCAGAGCTCAAACACAAAAACGCACTGGAACGTTTGTCAAATAAGTTTCGCCGATATTATATTTTTGCTTGCTTTATACTCTTGCTTTCGTTTGAGGCTGCTTAGCAACCACCTATGCCACTGGCCAGCCCTGATTCTAAGTCATGCAATAGCTGCTCATTGAGTCGCATTGAGTGAATTAAACTTGAGAAATGGAAAGTCACTGAAAAGATACAACTCTAAAGAACGCTGAACATCAACTCTAAACTTGCCAATAAAATCTAGGATTTAAGTACATTTTCAGTGAATAATGAATGGTATCACTTTTATGATACTTTTTAAAGCTTTTTTCATTGCCTCAGTGTCCATTCTTTATAATTGCCATTCAGTACATTTCTTCAAACTTCAAAGTTTGAAATGCATGCTGGTGAGTAAATTATGTAAGAATTGAAATGTTTAAAATGCACAACTAAATTGGGTGGGTGTCTTCTTTACTATATAAATGCTAAATGTTCAGTGGGCAGAAAGAGGCTTGAGCGAGGCCTAGAACAAAAGTAGTTTGATAGAAAGAGAGAGGCAGAGAGAGAGAGAGAGAGAGAGTGTGTATGTGTGTGTGTGTGTGTGTGTGTGTGTGTGTGTGTGTGTGTGTGTGTGTGTGTGTGTGTGTGTGTGTGTGTGTGTGTGTGTGTGTGTGTGTGTGTGTGTGTGTGTGTGTGTGTGTGTGTGTGTTAGTGGGGGCGCTACTATGCCGGAGGGTAGGTTCACACCATCTCTCTCTGACTTCGCTCTGCAATACTCCTACTGAAAATGAAACAAGCGTACACAGAGTCTGCCCTATCTTTTAGATATGCCTGGTTGCTCAAAATTGTTGCTTGACTTTGTAAGGACAAACCAAATTATGTACGCACCCTCGCTGAGTAATGCTACATCATGTTTCTAATGCCTGAGAATTCTTACCGACAATTTATATCCTTAAATTTATTGATTGAATAATATTTAATTTATTAATATTTAATAGTTACTTTTCCACTATATTTTCCACTAATAATTGACATTTTCTTACCTTTTTGGCATTCCATTTATCTATGGTTCATGCCTTCGATCTGCAATATTGTCAATCTGCAATCTTCTAAAAACTTAACAAATCATTCACTTCATAATGTCTTGATTAGTTTTTATGATTGGTCCCTTAGAGTGGAAAGTCTAATTGCAGTTTAATTAGTTCCATTTAGATTATGCAATAGTAACATGTTTGATTGATTGTCTTGTACACCTAATAGTTACATTTTCCATCTTCAGATATACAGGCGCTGTTATGTGAGTTACTTAAACGAATTGCAAGATCTCAAGTGAAATATTACATCATAATAACTACTACTAATTTTTAATATTAGTTTTGTGATGCAGTGAACAAAAATCAAGACAATGACTTACTATAATGTACTTTGGACTATAATACATTTTGTATCGGGTCAGTGTGTCTTCAAATCTTATAATGCTAAGTCTCTGTAGGATTTGCCATATGGCATATTCAGCATTTTTGTAATAACCGTTCTAAAAAATCAATGGGCTATTATGGCAAATAAGCTTTTCTGGAAAGTCCCTTTGTCATGGGGTGCTCTTAACAATGCCAAATCCTACCTCCCTCTTTTCTGGATACAATCCATTTGATTGTGAAATCAGGCATGCTTTTGTTTGATATCCTTGATTTAATCAACAAACCAATGCAAGCTATTACATTTAATTTTTAAATACCATGTTATCCAAAACTCCAGGAGTTTTATGATGCATGACTTAAGGGTAGAAAAATCGAATTCATTTCAAGCTTTAAATGTAACACGAAACAGTATTGCTTCCTAAAGCATGACAATTTTACTTAGTAGAAGAAAAGTGCAAAAGGTCCTTTTTCTGCTATCTGACTCCATTTAGTGTTTTTGAGTACCAAGTCTCATTTTAAGAACATTACTCAGTGGTATCTCTCATGCCCTGAGCACCGGTGCCAATCTGGCTGGCCAGTAGCCCGTGTGCCCTCTTCCAGGAATGTGATTGGCTGTCTGCAGGGCTCTCCTTCCCTCGGTTGTGTCGTGCTGAGTCCAGATGGACTCGGCCAAGTTCCCAGCCGTGGCCTACAGCCCATGACGCTGGCCTTTATTGAACAGGGGTCAGTCTCTATTGGTAATCTCCAGGAGGCAGCACAGGGTGGGACCGTCCGGCTCCAGACTGGGGGCATGGGTGTCTGTGTCTGTGCATGTATTACTGAGAGCATGCATATAACTTGCCGATAGAAGCCCTCTTGCATCAATGGTCAGTGAGTCTCAGGCCAAGGTCAAAGTAATGACCCGTTTTCTGATCGGCAGATTGTCAGACATTCATCACTCGACCCCCTGCCACCTGCCACCCACTCCTCATAACCTTTGACCTCTCTGCACTTATCTTCTATAAGCACTATGGCAGAAGCGCCTTAACCAGCCAACACCTTAATGGCTTTGTTCATGCTCATAATTCATGCAGGAAATACATTTGGCAGGGTACTGAGTCTGTGTGAGAGCAGCTTTTAGGCAGTAATCATTGAATGTGTTGTGACCGGTAAGATTTACTGAATGTATTGCAGGACTGGCCTATCTGCAAGCTGACACCCTTGCCACAAAATTATGACTATTACTACTTTAAAAATGAAAGGGAAATGAGAAAATAATGTGTACATCTTAAGGATGAATAAAGCTGACTACAATAATATGATTTATAGGAAAAGTATGCGTTCATTTTTACTAGTTGTGATTTGTTGTATGAGACTTTTTTATTGTCAATGAGCACAAAACCAAAAATATAAATAAATTGCTTTTATTTATTTAAACATATACATTTGTATTTATTTAAACATTAATATAATATAAAATCATATAATATGTACATATTTTTGGCTTAGAATTATAATTGGCAATGTTTTTTTCTTTTCTTTTATTTATTTAAACATTATAACATAATATATTTATTATTAAATCTATTACATATAAATCGTATATACTTTGGTGGCTTAGAATCATAGGTAACACTTTACAATAAGGTTTCATTAGTTAACATTAGTTAATTTTAGTTAACATGAAATAAGAATTAACAATACTTCTACAGCATTTTATTAATCTTAGTTAATGTTAATTTCAATGTTTACTAATACATTATTAAAATCAAACGTTGTATTTGTTTGGTAACAAATGCTGTATTGCTCATTTTTAGTTCATGTTATTCATAATTGAATATGTGGCTTAGAATCAACATAGCATGTATTACATCTCTATAAATTCAATTCCTTCATGTTTGGAGTATTTGAACATTAGTACATAGTGTACATTAGTACATAGTGTACCTTTTCTATCAGTCATGGTGGCAGTTATTCGTCAAATGATTGTGACAAGAGTTATTACCAGGCATGTATTGTGAATAACCGAGGTATCAGTTCATTCTTAGTGAATTCCCCCTTATTTCTTTCCAGACTGGCTGATGTTTTTGCATTGATATCCAGATAGCTGTTCCGTTGGCTGATGAAGACAAATATTCATTGTGTGTAAGGGACTTGGGGATGAAATGCTCATAGCTTTGCTGTGCCACCAGGGTCCACTTTAGCTTAAATAAGCCTGAATCACAGATGCTGGCCTCTTTGCTGTGGGAAACCCCATCTCAAAGGAGCTCATCAATATGTTGGAAGCTGTCGAAACAACTGCATTGTCCTTGTGGGCGCTCATAGACAATAGACTCGAGGGCAATGTTAGGCTAGCACTTTAACTCCTGCTGAGCTGACTTTCCAGTCCCAGGTCATGGGTTTTGTGTTTTTATGTGCCCTAATGTCCATTGGTGCTGTTTGAGTTCCACCTATATTATTAGAACCACGTGTTTAGCCTGTTTCTCTCTGCTGGTAGATTTTGGTACTGCATCATCTGGCTGTTAAAACCATCTCATGCATTGACGGCCATTCAAAAGTATCAGTGCATTTCAATCTCAAATATTTTATGTTATTGTAAATAATTTACCAGAATTCGTTTTTTGTACTTATGTTGTTCTCTGTCTGCTGCCTTTCCCATCACAGATCAGGATTTTCAGTAAGGGTTTGGGGTTGTGAGTTGTTTTGGTGCTATCAGATCATGACCATTTGAATGCCTCTATAACAGTTGTCAACCAGGGGACCGGGGACCGCTAGGGGGGCTCAGCAAACTTCCAAGGAGGCCCCAGGATGACTTAAAAGTATTTGAATTATTAAATTATTATTATTATATTAAAATAATCTAATTCTAATCACATCAGCACTTGAAATCCCTCCCTTTTATTGAAGAAAATATTTATTGAAAGGGAATCTTCAAATGGAATCAGAAAAAGAAACATTAATATATCCATACTCCCAGTTTCTGTTCATAAAAAAAGGTATTTAAAGAAGCAGCTTTGTCATGATAATGGCAGAAGCCATTATTATAACATAAGTACAAATTACAAATTAGATACTGATAAATTATCTACATAATTTGACATAATCAAATATTTGAGTTTCAAATGCACTGATACTTTTGAATGGCTTTTAAATGGAGTGGTGAAGGATTTTATGACATGGTGTGACAGTGCCTTTTTGCAAGTAAACGTAAAAAAGTTTGGCTCCTCAACCAACTAGAGTGAAAGGTCAAATTGTGGAATGGGCTGGGAGTTACATGTATCTTGGACTTTTCATTGAAAAAAAGTTGTGTTTCAATACTTATATTGAAGCAGTATGCAAGAAAGGCCAGCAGCGGTTACACTGTCTTCGGAGGCTCTCTACTTTTAATACCAGTATGACTCTTATGATCATGTGCAATAAATCTTATATTGAATCTGTACTTTGCTTTTCTATATGCTGTTGGTATGGTAATGTAAATGTTAAACATCGAATTTTATCGAGTGTCCATGTCAACCGAGATATTAAGATTATTGGCATTAAGCAGACCGGATTATCAAATAGCTTTTAACGGTTTGTCTAGAACAAAAAGAAAGCTAGAGCTATTCTTGCAGATTGTACTCATTCACTGTTCCATGTTCCAATGCTTCCTTTTTGGTATTTGTTATAGTATGCCTAAACTTAAAAGCAATCAGTATAGGCATTATTTTGTTCCAACTGTTGTAAGTCTTTTAAGATGTCAGAATGTTGTGTGTGCTGTTTGTTTTGTTTGTGTTTTTTGTATGATATGGTTAAAAAATGTTGCTGCACCAAAAATCGCCTTTTGGGCTTATAATATACTTTGAAGTACCGAAAATAACTTATCAATATTCATCTTGTCAACCTCTCAGAGACCCAAAGCATAGAGGAGTGTGGACAGCAGCTGAAAAGAATCCTTGACTCCCCCAGTGTGCCTCAGGCTAACCACCAGCTCCTGGTTCATCTGACCCGACACCTAAGCAAGGTGGCCGAAAGTCGGGGAGCAGCTCAGGCAAGCCCCAGGCTTCTGGCTCTGGCCTACAGCGAGGTCATCTTCAAAAACAACCACTTCAGGTACTGTCAATAACTTGTAGTCAACTGAAATCTACAAGTCTTTAAGCTGCACTATCGCTTGAACGTTTTGAGTCAGATATATGTTTTAAAGTAAGTGTAAATTGCAGGTTACATTTTTCACGAAGATAATGCAATGTGCTTACTAAACATAAAGATAAGAACCGCTCACAATTGTTTTTTTTATGTTTTTTTATACCAAAATGCTGCATATAATATGAAAAGTTGGTACGTTTTACAGTGGTTTTAAGCACGCTCCCTCCCTTCCACTAGGCTGGGTGTGACTTCATAAAAGGGATTCCAAGCTTTTACTGTCTAGGCCTGGTCTATGCTCCAAGCCTAGAGTTACCGTTAGTCTAAACGGCAAGTAGGCTAGCAGTTATATTGGAGACCTAGCTAGCAAAAATGGTTAACTATTGTGTTTGTGCGGGATGTACGAATACATCAAAAACGGGGGAGAGGCTCCACAAGTTCCCCAAGGACAAATGACTGATTCATGCCTGTAAGTGTTAGCATACCCGAGGTAGATCTCGGGTATGCAAGCCCGACCCTACCCGAGCACGTTGTGTCCGAGCCCAGCCCGGCCCGACACATTAACTGTACCGGTAATTATGAGCCCGAGCCCGATTTAAACCCAACCATTTTTTAATACGTGTGTCATTATTATAACTGACGTTCTCAACTACTTTCTATGTTACTTTCTCCCGCCCGCAACATTTATGTTTTGTCCCGCTCTCGCCCGCAAAAAGACTTTTTTTCTGTACCTCCAAATACTTTCAAGTTAGCCTATGTGTCGCCACCATACACATCAGCATAAATGCTCCTGATAAATTATTTGTTATTAAAGCATTAACACACAGACCACACCGTTATAACATAAAAACAAGCAGGCTAACTTACAGTCATGCATGGTTTGGCATGACTGCGCGCAAAGTGCGCTCCCATAATAATTCCTAAAAAGCTGACATCAGTTCATCACGATCTCACACATCTCTGTTATTATCAATGAATTTTTCATAATATCTACACTTTGTTTGTTATAATTCGAGGATTTGCCAGCATACAGAATTCATCACTGAACAAAAAGTCAGTTTTGAGCGGTGAGGGAAGTCTATCGTAAATGCTTCTGATTGGCCATTGCGTTCCTAGAAATCAACACATACTGTATGTCTGTGATTGGCTACATCGCTCAACGCTGCAAACATGTTATAAATAGAAACTCTGGCCTGTAAATCGTTTCTATTTTTTTTTTTAGTTGTTCTTGTTGCTTTTCTGCAACAGATGAATAAAAATGTATTCGTTTTATGTTTTATTCATAGATATTTCTTTGAGGGAGTCCCGCGAATCGTTTTATTCTCCCTCAACCCGCACACACAGAGTGAGTGCATTACCGCCCGCGCTCCCTCTTATGACGTCATCACCCAGTTACTGTAAAAAACATGCTACCTTTGAAGAAACCCCAATAAATGTTATTTTAACGCATTTTAAGACAGACATTTTTAAATGTATACATATTGAGCACTTTAATTTACACATTAATTGGTTGTGGCGGTTAACCTGCAATTTACACTTTAAATATTTTTGAACGAAGTTTGTAATTCCAAGACAGTATTTATTTGATCAAAATACAGTAAACAGTAAAATTGTGAAATATTATTACAATTTAAAATTGTTTTCTATTTTAATTTAGCCTATTTAAAATGTTTATATATTCCTATGATGGCAAACCTGAATTTTTTCAGTTGCTGTTACTCCAATCTTCCATATCACGATCCTTCAGAAATCATTCTAATATGCTGAATTGGTGCTAAAGAAATATTTATTATTATCATCAATGTCAAAAACCGTTGTGCTGCTTCTTTTTTTCGACATGCATTTAAATCAGGATTCCATGATGAATAGAATGCTCAAAATAACAGCATTTATATGAAATATTTTTGTAACGTATTTTTGTCAGTTTTTTTTTTTAATGGATTAAGTTGAATAAAAAAATCTATTGAATGGTAGTATATATCCAGAATAAGGGGCTTTATTTGTATGAGTGTAAGTTAACTTATTTATAACAAATTATGTAACTTATTTATAACAAATTATGTAACTTTAATTACTGACTTGGCTCTGAGATAAGTCATTACTTTTCTGGACCAGCTGCATTACAATAGAAAAATGTTTGAGGTCGGAAAATAATGTATTTTCATGTTCAATTTTGTGGTTGCTCTTGTGGCAAAAAGCAGTCCTATAAAAATGACCAAAGGCGTGCATGCTCACATTTACACGTGCATGTCCATACATGTCCTTTGTTTCAGCAGAAAGCCCAGTTGAACATATGTCAAAGCCTATCTTTATTCCCCTAGTTTAATTAAAGTGGAGCAGAAAGAGATGAGGGAGCTGTTATTTCTGATCTGTCCCTCAGCCCACTGTAAGGCAGCTCTTAATGGCTGCAGCTCCAGTACAATCTCCTGAGAGGAACAGCACATTACATACAACAGATGGGAATGCTTATTAAAATGTGTTGCACTATGTTACAATACCTTGTACTTGCCATTTGAAGAGTACCAGGAGTGAATGTTGATAACTCATTATTTATGTAACCTGACTGTTATTATGTACCAAACATCTGTATCAGACTATAATACATGATGATATTTTTGACAATGGAACTGATGTTTGCATATTTCCTTATGCCACAGGTTAAATGAAGCATTATTGGGATCCCTGTCATTCTTGACTGTGGAAAAGAGGTTTCAGAGGCACCCCATAGAGACCCCTAAAAGTTACTGTGTAGAAACCATGGTAAAGCGAATGTAGATGGTGGATGTGCTGTACTAATGCTGCTAAATTAATTATATAAATAATCAGATTATGATTATGTTTGATGCAATTAAATAAGTATGAATAGTGACGGTTGCAGCAATAATCTATGTGCATTCCCATTACATCCAAATGTTCTATTTACATAATTTTTTCTGTGTATTTTGTTCTAGTACTGTCACATATTTTCGCTCACTTTATGAGTACAGTTTGTTCAAAATATAAATTACAGTTTGTTTTTCACACATCCCAATAATTTATTTGATATATGTGATTGCATCACTAATTAATAATAATCAATAATTCTTCCAAAAAGTATGGCAATAGTAACACTGTAATTATTATAATGACAATAATAATTGTATCAGTATTGATTATTGTCCATAATCATGGATCCTTAGGTAAAACTATATTGTATTTAATTATGGTAGAACTTTTAATTGGCAAGGACACATTTATTTGATCAAAAGTGACAGTAAATACTGTTACAAAAGATTTCTATTTCAAATAAATGCTGTTCCTTTGAACTTTATATTTATTAATGGATCCTGAGGAAAAGGATTCCCACAAAACTATTTAGCAGCACAACTGTTTTTAAACGTTTTAATTTTTCTTGAGTACCAAATCAGCATATTAGAAGGATTTCTGAAGGATCATGTGACACTGAAGACTGGAGTAATGATGCTGAAATTCAGCTTCGCCATCACAGGAATATATTAGATTTAAAATTTATAAAAATACAAAACTTATTTTGAATTGTAATAATCCTTTATAATGTTGTAACTAACATTTTATTTTTACTGTATTTATGTTCAGATACATTCAGCCTTGGTGAACATGAGAAACTTCTTTTTAAGAAACGAAAGTCTTACTAACTCTAAACTTTTGAATGGAAGTGCATACAGTGGTACCGAATAAATACCACATTCATCTACTATGGTATTTTCTTGTATGGAAATTGTGATATCAGTATGGTACATGTCCAAATAATATGGTAATCCCATGATACTTTTTAGCTAGTATAACTAGCCAGTATAACTCCGTTAAATGGCTGGTGACATCACACCCTCTATAAAGTGCCCTCTTGAATGAAGGACTTTAGTGCACATAATAAAGAGTAGTGTGCAAGTGAGTAACTCAGTCAGCACATTGTAGTCCATTAAGTCGCCTTGCTCTTATTCGATTGTGAGCTGCTTTCTTGTCCCTCTGCCAATAGACTCCAGTGGGACTTTCCTTGCTGTTAGCGGCCTGTCAATTGTCTTATGGCTCTGGGGTAGTTCAGGCAAAGGGAGAGGGGGGATGTTGAAGTGGAAGAGGGAGAGAGAATGCATTATGCCTCAAACAATCATTTTTGGTTAGTCATTAGCTTCACTCACTACCTGAGGTCATTGAGGCATTACAAGACCTGGATTACATCTGAATACATAAGCAAATGAACATTCTCCTCTAAAAATCCAATCGAGTTCCGACCATAAATAAACAGTCACCAGTTCGCCAAGTAGATCAGCTGCCGCAACTCATTACATGACCTATGTATGTGTGTGAGTGATTATGACTGACTTGCTTCTTGGGGCGGCAGTGGCTCAGTTGCTCATGTAGGTTGTCTACAAAGGTTGGTGGTTCAATCCCCGGTTCCACCTGACCAAGTGTCGAGGTGTCCATGAGCAAGACACCTAACCCCAGCTGCTCCTGACGAGCTGGATGGCGCCTTGCATGGCTGACACCGCCGTCGGCGTATGAGTGAGTGAGTGAATGGGTGAATGTGAGGCAAAATGTAAAGCGCTTTGGTGGCCATTGGGTCTGTGAAAGCGCTATATAAATGCAGTCTATTTACCATTTACCATGTAAGTTTCATTTATTTTTGATCTGACCTTTCCATGTTTCATGACTTATAGTTGTATATCAGAGCATTTGTTTGGGTTTAACGACAATTTTAACCCTAGCATGACAATAGGGCTTTTCACACTGCGCTTAAGCCCGGGTTATCGTTGTCCTAAACACCGATTTTTACCCCGGGTAAAGGAACGTTTTCACACTTGTAATTTAGAAGCAGGTTTAGCACCCCGTTTTTACCCAGGGTTATGAAACCCTGCTCTGCGCTTTTGCAGTGTTAACCCCGCATTGCTGTGCCAAACTTGTACAGTGTGAAATGATGCGGTGTTAGAATGTTAAACCTAGACGTTTAGCAACAGACAACCAATTGCGGGCTCATATTAGCGTGCTTTTACAGTCACGGAAACACTGCACATTGTATATAAACAGTAAATTCAGCATTTGAGAGGAAAAATGTCAAATGCTGAAAGGAAACGTGACAATTTGAGTGAAGAAGAGGCCATTTCACTCTTACCTTTGTAGACTGAAGTATCCATTCAGTAAATTTGAAAGTACAGTCGGCAATATAAGGATGCTGCAATGTTAGAGCTTTTATGTAAACAGGTCGCATGCTGCGTTCATCCAATCAGTGACACTGACCCCACAAATATGTAAATAAGAAAGTTAACCCAGGGTTTAGGAATGTACAATGTGAAATGTCAGCTTATGAATACCCAGGGATTAATTGTTAACCCCCGGGTATATTATGAGCAGTGGGAAACATGAAGCAAGATAACCCGGGGAATCAGTTTACCCGGGTTTAGAATGACCCAGGGTTAACTATTTCAAGTGTGAAAAGCCCTATAATATATACTTACTCTCTCACTCTGTCTCTCTCTGTCTCTCTCGCTCTCTCTCTCACTCTCAGTGCGGATGTAAACCCAGAACACCATGTGAAGATTCTTGAGGCACTTATCACGGTTGGAGGCCTAGTGGAGATACAAGCTGCTCAGGTAGGCCATCAGAGGTTCTGATTTTCTTTATCTTCTGTAGGTTCGCCTTCTTGGATGACCTTTTATTTGTATACCTTGAATTTTAATAACTCACCTTTGGAATTGTGTGATTGAAAGCTTTTTTATTATTTTTATTATTACAATTTAGATTTTGTCCAAACAGAGTCATGCTTTAATGTCTTTGAGGATGGACATATCTGAAGTAGATGATATAGTGTCGTCTGTGATGTAGGCCAATAAATTGTGTGTGTGAGAAAGTGAGGTTGAGAAAAGTGATTAGTTGATGTGGGCTCAGTAAATGTTCATGATACTTGCATCCTTAGATTGCTGCTTCTTTACTCCACTAAGGCCTGACTAAACTTTGTTGTTATGGATCTTCTGGCTCAACATGCCCTTTATGTTCCTTATGCTGTAAGGGTGGTTCACTACAGTAAAACTGTAGGCTACAGGATCGCCAAATGAGAAACATTATCAGTGGTACCAACCACTGCGGACTTATACCAATGACGGAAATAGGTGCAGTTAGAATAGCAAAATATGTGGGAGAGCATTGCTATAGTGTGACTATATTTTATTGCAATAGGTAGCACTTCAAAGTTAATACCAAATCAAAAGCACACAATTTGCAATTGAAAGGGTTTAATGAAATTATCTAGTTATGGTTACACTTGAAATAATTACAAAATAGATGTATGAAATGATCAAATCATATACCATTAATTGTACCCAGCATATATGTAAAATGTTACGAGAGAGAGAGAGAGAGAGAGAGAGAGAGAGAGGAGAAGAGAGAGAGAGAGAGAGAGAGAGAGAGAGAGAGAGAGAGAGAGAGAGAGAGAGAGAGAGAGAGGAGAGAGAGAGAGAGAGAGAGAGAGAGAGAGAGAGAGAGAGAGAGAGAGAGAGAGAGAAGAGAGAGAGAGAGAGAGAGAGAGAGAGAGGTCCAGGGAGAAAGGGAGATGGAAGGCTATGCTCAGGAAGAGCAAAGCCCCCAAGAAGAAGAAACAAAGAAAAGAGAGAAAAGCCCAGAGAAAAGAAGGGCAGAGCAACAGTTACAGTCTTCTTATATCCCTTACTTGAACCCAAATGTGAGACATTCAATATGGACCAATCAGCAGATTACATCTTCCCCTGCCATACTAAAGTGTGATGATAAACAGACCCCGGTGTACACATCTTGGCCTACGGGCCCTGATCATTTATCAGCACTTCTTATGCCTTTAGGAATTCCATATGCCCTTCTGGTAAGGAAAAGGGGGTTGGAACAGGACAGTTCCAAGTGTCTTTGTTCATTTTCAACCTTGCAGTACAATCCAAACATTGAGTTTCAGTCATTGAACTTCCTGCAATAGGATTTAATGAATATAGGCCTATTGGAAAGACTGGAGATATTCTGGAGTTGACTATCCTGGGAGGTTAACATCAGCCTTTTATAATAAAGGAATACAATAAATATGAATTAAACCAGTTGGATGTTTTTTGGTTTCCATTTTGATGCATTAAGAATTGAAGTTGGTCAGAAGCTAAATTCATTTTAAGAGGTAACTTTCCTCAACAAAACCTCTTACACAGAGGCTCAGTTTGGATGAGGTAACAGACTATAACTTAGAGCTAATAAATGCACCACCCATGGACACATACACATATTTATGGGTCTGGTGTGACCTTCTCTTGCTGTTGTGGAGTCATAACTTTAGCTCTAAGGCAAAACGAGTAATGATATGGGTGGCAAGCTAAAGCTGAGATTTACTTAGAACTAATAGTCATGGTCAGACTTTTTACCCCAAACTATATTCAGTGATTTAATTTGATTGTTTGTTACCGTTCAAAGTTTGGGGTCGGTAATGATTTTGAAAGACATGTCTTATGTTCACCAAGGCTGTATTTATTTACATATTTTATTTATTTACAAACGTAAAAACACTAACATGATGAAATATAATGGTTACACTTCATTTTGATAGTCCACTTTAAACATTCTACTAACTATAAGTAAACTAACCTGTTTAGTACCAGTCTGTAGTAGACTGTCAGTAGACTGTTAGGTTATGGTTTGGTGTTAGGGTTCGGGATAGGAGAATAAGTTGACTTGTCATTGCCAAGTTACTTATAGTCAGTTGAATGTCTGTTGGGGGAGCATCAAAATAAAGTTTTAGCAGATATTAAGCAGAAATTCTACTAATCCTCTAATGACAGTTAGTTGACATGTAGCTGCAAAGTTACTAGTAGAATGTCTCAAGTGGACTATCGAAATAAAGTGTTACCAATATTATTTCCGAATTCGGATTTAGGCATTGGACACATAATTATTACAATGTTAAATAACCGTTTTCTATTATAATATATTGTTAAAAAAAATATTTAGTCCTGGTAAAGCTGAATTATCAGCAGCCTTTACTTTAGTCACATGATCCTTCAGAAATCATTCTAACATGCTGAATAGGTGCTGAAAAACATTTCTTATTAATATCACTGTTGAAAACATTTGTGCTGCTTAATATTTTTGTGAAAACCATGATATTTTTTATTCAGATGAATGTAGAGTTTAAAAGAACAGCATTTATTTGAAATTGATTATTATAAATATCTTTACTGACACTTTTGATCAATATAATGGGTCTTTGATGAATAAAAGTGGCCTATTACTTTCTTTTCTTACACCTTTTGAATGGTAGTATAATAACTTTCTGGTTAAAATAGAAATATTAAAAACAATAGAAACACATGCACAGTACTACTAGCCCTCGAGCATCCTTTTAGATTTGTGTGGATAAATAAACTCAGAATCTGCAGAGACTGCAAGCTTAGACTCTCCTTCCTAATGGTTTAATCATCTCTTTCACTAAAGGCTATATTAACAGGGGTCAGAAGGCACATAAGGCTGGATGGGTGGCCTATGAGCAGAGTGAACCTCTTCACAGCTCAAAATGAGATTTTATGCAAAATGCAAAAGAGCAACCAGAGCAAAAAAGAAAAAAAGGGTTAGAACGCATCTATTCACATCATAACCCATCAACGTATGTATGACTTCCTTTTTGGAGGCAGGCAGTAATGTACTTGGAGTGCTTTAGCAAACAACTGACCCCTCCTGTGCCTCCAGCTCTCCAGTTTGGCCTTAATGTGTTCCAGCTTGGTAAAGTTTGTTGGCAAAACATTGCGTTTAAAGAGCAATCTTTTGGGGGCCACGTCAGGCTCACTCTCTCTTGGATGACTGCACTTGTCAAATGTTGATGGATTCACCGTGGCTGTTAGCATGGGCTCTGGAGTGAAAGTGAGGGAGGAAAAGAAACGGAAAGTAGGCAAATACAAGAAAGCTGAGAGAAGAGTATGACAAATACAGTTTAGGAAAGGTCACAACCACACTTACGTAGTTTTTCTGTCTTTGTCGGGGACTTCTGTTGTTTTTCTTTATGGAGAAACAACAGAAGAAATGCAACTTTTAGAGTATTTTAAACGTGTGCATGAGTCTTGCTATATGTTCTAAAACCTAGCATTTTATAATGCACACTACTGTTCATGCTCACCAAAGCTGCATTTATTTGATCGAACATACAGTAAAAACAGGAATATTGTGAAATGTTATTGCAGTTTAAAATATGGCAGACAAGCCAAAATAAATGTTTAGGGATGAAATAAATAAACTAGGGATGAGGTTATTAACTTTAAAAGTTTAGTGTTTTATTTGTCATTTATTTAGGCAAAGTTGTACATAATTTTAATTTAGGCCATTTATTGGTTATAGACCATGACGTAATAGTTATTAGCCAGAAATGTAATATTGTTGCATCCCTAAAATAAATGTGCATTTCATTTAACACTGAACAATGTATTAATTAAATTAATATCAGTGTGATTAAAAATTGAGGTAACACTTTAAGGTTAGTTAAAGGAACACTCCGACTTTTTGGGACTTTAGCCTATTCACCTTATCCCCCAGAGTTAGATAAGTCCATACCTTTTTCATCTCCGTGCGTGCTGTAACTCTATCTGACGCACCCACCGCTAGCCTAGCTTAGCACAAAGACTGGATGTAAATGGTTGCAGCTAGCATACTAATCCAAATAAGTGACAAAATAGCGCAAACATTTTCCTATTTACATGTTGTGATTTGTATAGTCACAGAGTGTACAAAAAACAAAGTCACATGAGACACAAACATATTTTAACCGTATAAATACTGGGAACTATATTCTCTGAAGGCGAAGCACTGCTACTTGGGCGGAGTGATAACCACAGCAGCTGAGACGCGCCGTGGTGAGGAGCAGAGAGTTCGTTCAGAGTGTTGCACTAATCACTCCGCCCAAGTAGCAGTGCTTCGCCTTCAGAGAATATAGTTCCCAGTATTTATACGGTTTAAATATGTCTGTGTCTCATGTGACTTTGTTTTTTTTTTACACTCTGTGACTATACAAATCACAACATGTCAATAGGAAAATGTTTGCGCTATTCTGTCACTTATTTGGATTAGTATGCTAGCTGCAACCATGTACATCCAGTCTTTGTGCTAAGCTAGCGGTGGGTGCGTCAGATAGAGTTACAGCACGCACGGAGATGAAAAAGGTATGTATGGACTTATCTAACTCTGGGGGATAAGGTGAATAGGCTAAAGTCCCAAAAAGTCGGAGTGTTCCTTTAACGAATGCATTAAATAAGATTAACTAACATGAGTAATATATTTCTCACAATATTTATTAATCTTTGTTAACATTAGTTAATAAAATACAACTGTTCAGTGTTACTTCATGTCAGCTCAGGTCCATTAAAATTATTTTAACAAATACAACTTTTTATTTTAACTATGTGTTAGTAAATGTTGAAATTAACATGAACTAAGAATAATAAATGCTTTGGAAGTATTTTTCATGTTAACTGATTAATTAAATAATGTTAGCAAATATAACCTTATTGTAAAGGCCTAAAGGGTCCCCATTGAGGATTATTATAACTTAGAGTTGTGTATGCTATGTATGTTTATGATGGGGAATCACACTGTTAGCTGATCAATATGCCGAAGTTAAACACTAGTGAAGCAGCACACTGGGTTTTGTAAACAGATCGACAGAGTTGCTGTTCGGCATGCTGTTTTTCCCTCCCCC